ATCTTTAGAGCAAGTATACATCCTATACCATATTGAGTGTTACAATGTCTATAGTGCTAAAAACATAGAGCTGGCTAGCAGCATCCACACTTGGAGTGGAAGAAAAATACTGTGGAACTGCTAGTAGTGAAAATTTAAAAATATATATATATTTGACTGCATTTCTAAAACCTAAGTTGATAGATACAAAAAGTAAACACATTTATAATGCATTATGTAGATAATGAAGTAAGAATAATCTCAAACAAAAGTAAAGGGGGAAACAAAATCCTACCAAAGCCTACTACACTTGCACAGGCAAGTATCAGCAACAGAAAGCCTCCTCCTTGACCAGCAAGAGGTTCTACCAACCACAAGCATCTCATTCACCTCTGTTTAGTGTAAGTAGTTTATTCCTCAACTAGAATTCCACTCATCACATAGGTCGAGTGACTCAATAATCTGATAGCTGATCGTAGAGTGACCCTTTAACCCCTTAAGGACCAAACTTCTGGAATAAAAGGGAATCATGACATGTCACACATGTCATGTGTCCTTACGGGGTTAAAGGACCACTATAGTGCCAGGAAAACAAACTTGTTTTCCTGGAACTATAGCGCCCTGAGGGTGCCCCCACCCTCAGGGTCCCACTCCCGTGGCACTGAAGGGGAGTGGGACCCTCGGCGCTGGGACTCTCCTCCCTTTTCTTCAGTCATCGGCTGAATGCGCATGTACGGCAGGAGCCGTGCGCACATTCAGCCAGTCTCATAGGAAAGCATTTTCAATGCTTTCCTATGGACGCTGGCGTCTTCTCACTGTGAAAATCACAGTGAGAGGCGAGGAAGCGCCTCTAGTGGCTGTCAATGAGATAGCCACTAGAGGCTGGATTAACCCATAGGTAAACATGCTATGTTTACAGCAAAAAGGGTTAAACCTAGATGGACCTGGCACCCAGACCACTTCATTAAGCTGAAGTGGTCTGGGTGCCTATAGTGGTCCTTTAAGCTACAGTATAATTTGAAAGACAGATAAATAGGAAGTGCATCCTTATTTCATCATGCATTTGTTTGTTCTTAGAAAGAAAAGTTATTGAAAATACTGTTGACCCATATATTATTTCCGATATAAATTTAGATGAAAATTGCTAATCTATTTTTGAATGTGTAATAGAGAATAGTATTCACACATACTCCGCTTAAAGTACATATGCAGTTATTATGTTTGATATTGCATAACCAATGGTATGGCATGTGAATGGAGATGGTTCCATAAACCTAAAAAAAAGCTGGAAAGTGAAGTCACGCGTTATAAAGTTATTAGCACATTTTACTTATTTCCCCAAGTCTTACCAGCTTCCTGAGAAAAATACATTAAAAAAAAACAAAACAAAAAAAAACACCAGACTCTCTACCATCCACCTGAGAGCATGCATTTAGTCTTCACTCCTTAACACTTTGGATGCCAGCAACAAGAGATAAACTGGAGCTTCCTGGCACTCAAAAGGTTAATGATAGCAAGAATAAGAAACATCTGGGAGAATAAGCAATGCCTACGTCTGCATTTCCATCTTGGATATTTCACGAAGAGTGAGGAACATGTAAAAGAAAAGACAAATTGCTAATTTTCGTAGAAATTTGAAAATTACTCAAACAAGGAGTAAAAGGGAAGTAAAAAAGATTGCCATCAGAACATCTTGCTTCATTTCATTTCACAATCACATCCAAGCACCAAATGTATTGGAGATGCAGAGGAGGCATTATTGGGAGGGTACATTTTACTAAAAACTACTGTGTTTCGTTACATTTTGCAGACACTATTGAAATTCCTGATGAATACCTTGGCAGCTCTGATTAAATACTGAAGAATTGTTTTAGGCAGTTTAATGACAGACTTTGGCAAGGCTAATAGGGCTGAAGCAAACTTTCCAATAGCTCTCTAAAAGAAGGACAAAGCAATAGCAATTAGTAGATAACAGTGAACATTGAATTATTAGTGAACAACATTGGTTAGTTATCATTCTTGTGATTTCACACACTGCAGCAAAAAGATTACTGGGGCTGACCACTATTATCACATGTAAATGATAACTTATTTAGTAAACACAGACAATTCATAATAATAATCACACCCCAGCAAATGGGTTTTAAAAGTTAATACTAGTTAGTTTTAGTGCCACCTTCATGCATTCCTCTTTATTTTAATAAGGTAAGTACGCAACTCACATAGAAGTAATAGCCTCAGTTGTTTCTTTAGAACCCCAAGATATACTTTTTTTTGTTATTCTTAGAATATTGCTATCTTTAATCTGGAAATCTTTATCAAATATTTAACTTTTTTTTCGTTCTGCAGACTTAAAATCAAGATATTTCCTCTAAATGCTTTACAGCTGGCATTTCTGAACAAAAGACATGGCTCAAGTAGAACAAGGTAAAGCAAAATAATCCATTGAGACACATAGTAAAAATATTACATGAGTTTTCGCAAAGATTTGTATTTGAAAGCCGTTAACATTTCAAGCATCCCAAGCAATGCCAAAAAATATCTTCACTTTTTTAATTTAATAAGCATCATTGAAAAATAAAGTTCTCCGTGAAACTTTATTTTTTTCTGTGCCTTTTCAAGAAAAGTGAAGAAAACCTTGTATCAAAAACACCTTTTATATATAGAAGGGTTTTGTCAATGCTATAGGCAAGCAGCATTGAGACTGAATGAACCTACATGTTCATTTCAGTATAAAATACACTGACACATATAGTACAGGAAACAATGTTATCAAAGTGCTTGAAAGTCTAAAAACATATATAGACGTTGACAAGCGTCACTTTCCAGATCTGTCCATCGTGCACAGAGGAGTACATCGTCTACTGAAGCCTACCTGGAATGCCGATTTTTTCCTTAGCTCATCCTCATCTTTTTTGTCATCATCTTCTTCTTCTTCACTGTCCGTCTCAAATAAATAATAATCGCCACTTCTGACCACTAAGTAAGATAAAATAGTTACTTATTTCTTGAATTTTTACTTGGCAAAAGCTTCATCTAACCTTGATTGACCATACTAGGCAATGGAGAAATATGACAAACTTGGGCAGGGACATCTCTTAGATACGTAGCTCCGGAATCACCAACAATGTTTACCTTGGAGGAACCATTAAGATGTCTACAATGGATGTACCTTAAACAAACTAACTGATTATGTATATACTATACTAGGTAAGTTAATCAAATAGTAAGACAGTTTGAACCATTCTAGACTCACTTCGATCAGTGATGTTCATACAGAGTAGTGCTAAAGGAGATGCTACATAAAGGGTTTGCCATCAGATTAAAAGTACATTTTTCAGTATTTCCAACCTGAGATGTAAAACATTTAGTGCAACATTTCCTTGCTTTAGTTGAGACTGTTTTCTATATGCTCATTACGTAACACTACGTAACATGTTTTGTTCAGGAGTAATTTTAATGTGAAACAATAGGGGTTGTACGTATAAAAAGTGTCATGTTCTAAAAAGCGGTCTACAGTGATAAAAGATAGTCCCCATTTTCAACGTTTGCACCACTTAGAAGATACACTTTTATACATAACCCCAAATCTTGCATTATACTCTGTTTAAAAAAAAAAAATAATAATAGTCTGAAATTCTCTTTAAAGTGTAATAGCTATTATGTAATTTATTATGAATTCACTGTCTTAGTCTTGTCAGATTGACATTCACATACAATTTAACATTTAAATATGCAATCATTTTTTTTACTATGATGTCAATATACATCAATTCTAACTGGTGCTGCATATCTTGGAACTGTGGCAATGGTCTATTAAATGTGTTAGATATTTTCATGTATTATAGAAAATATAAAAAATAAGTCTAGTTAATTGCTACTATTTACTGTCCCATGGTGAGATACAGTAGCATATAGGTAAATGTGGATTTTTACTCTAAGATGAAGTCAGCGTCTGCCAAAAGTAAACCAGGCATAAAAAAAACAAGTAATTACATTTATTTAAGTAAATGATAACTGGCACTCTGCATTGAAGTGGACAATTAACATGTTAAGTGAAGAAAGGGATACAAATGATACAACCAGTCTGCTATTATTTTTGTATTAACCAGTGAATTCAAAAAGACCTTTAGCCTCCATGTTAGTATAATTGAAAAGACCAATGCCTTGTATCCTTGAACAGAAATCTTTTTATGGTTTCATTTTTTATCAAGCCTAACAAAAAATAATGGATAATAAAACAATATGAAAGGAAGACAATGAGCAGGTGTGTGATGAGCAGCCGTGACATTACTCTGGTCCAAAAATCAAGACCGGTAAAGTAATGTGTGGAGCTAAGCTGCAAAACCAGACAATGGACACTTTTAGATCACTTCTCAAAAACAAAACAAGAATTAGTGTTTCATTTAACCCTCATTATAAAAATAGTGATTCAACAGAAACATATCTGCTTATAAAAAGGGAGTTCTCAGATTATTTTTTGGGTTTCATATTGATTGTTTTCATCTTATATATAAAACTAAGTGACTTCTAATAGCTACTGTGCGATGCTATTGTATAGTGTTATTTAACAAACTTGAGTTTTTATTTGTTTAGTCCATGAGTAAATGAAGATGCCCATCTTTTTTTATATATTTAAGCTTTTATGAAATATTGAAATGGATCCTTCCATAAAAGGTTTGTGTGCCTATTTCATTAAAAGGATCTATGCCAGGGCAATTGCATCCCCCCCCCCCCGAGAAAACCAACGGTCTCCCTCTCCCCTGCCAGCACATGCAGGCGCCAGCCCTGCAATGTGCCTTCACGGACAGGAGGGGAGATCAGAGATCTCCCTCCCCGGTCCGCAGGCAATGTGATCGCAGCCAGCAGGGGAGGGAGGGAGAGAGGACCCGGGAGCTCAGCCTGCAGCTCCTCCGGGTCCCCCTTTCTCGAGCATGGAGCGTTGCCGCGGTTACCACGGCAACGCTCCAAATCTCGTGAGAGTGAACTCTAGCTCTGGAGCTATGGGCTAGAGTTCACCTCACCACCACTGGGACCACCAGGGATTCCCCACCGGACCACCAGGGGTGGAGAAATGTCCCCCCTCCTCCCAGTAAAGGTAAGAAGGGAGGGGGGACATAATTAATATTTATTTTAATTAAATACATTTTTAAAAAAGAATATTCTAAAAAAGCCCCCCTAGCCTTATCACACACACTCACATCCTACACACACACATTGCCCCTCCCTCCTCACACACACTTCTGCCCCATACACACACTGCTGCCCATACACACACTGCCGCCCATACACACACTGCCGCCCATACACACACTGCCACCCGATACACACACTGCCACCCGATACACACACTGCCACCCGATACACACACTGCCACCCGATACACACACTGCCACCCGATACACACACACTGAACCCCATACACACACTGCCACCCGATACACACACTGCCACCCGATACACACACACTGCCCCCCATACACACAACACACACACACACCACCATACACACACACACTGCACCCCATACACACACATAAACACATGCCCCCCATACACACACACTGCCCCCCATATACACACACACTGCCCCCCATACACACACACTGCACCCCTGACATACACTGCCTCACTCACACACTGCAACCTTCACATACTGTCCCCCTCACACATTGCACCACTCACACACACCACTGCTCCTATGCCCTATGACAGCCCCATTTCCCAGCAGACCTCAGGTAAGTTGTCAAACTGTTCTTAAACGGTTTGAGTACTTACTCTGGGAGGGGGTCCCGACACTATTGGCACCATAACCACTACACTGAGCTGTAGTGGTTATTGTGTCTGGATTATTTATTTAAATAATCTACAAGTGCCCCTCCCGAAATCAGGCTCTGCATCCGCCACTGATGCCAGGGTCTATTTAGCATTTTTTTTTAAATCCTATTTCAAACCACTATAACATCTCTGTGTATAACTACTGCTTTAGTAAATCCATTAGTCTAAAAGGGTCTATTTGCACCATAATAAATTAGGACATTTTAAAAGGACCTTTAAAGTGCACTGTTAACGCTAACTTGAAATATAAGAATGCGAAGCTGGGCTGTTCCCACATTGACATTGCTCTTAAAGCATCCAATCTGAAGTACTAATAGCAAAAGTTGGCACATACCTGTATCTTTAGATTAGTATTTCCGTCTTTAGTATCTGTGTGTCTGATGCATGCATGTGTGTCTATATATATGTTAATAGGTTTATTCAAGTAATCAAATAAAGATGTTTTGTGTGTATGTCCTCTTTAAAGAAACACTGCAGGCGCTATGACAACCTTATCTTATTAAAGCTGTTATACTGCCTTAGGTAGTCTCTCCATAGCTCTAGCCTCAAAAATTTTATATTTTAGGAATCTAAAGATTGGAAGTGCGTGTTTAAGCAATGTCTCCAAGCCCTCTGGGTAGGAGAGCCAGGACTGTTACAGACCTGGCTCTCATATGCAGGAATACTGTGACATCACATGCACATGCGGAATACTGTTCACGGCTTGTTATAGAGGATCATTGTATTCAATGATTCTCAATGACAAGAGATTCATTGGCAGATCGCAGCAACCACCTTGCATGCTCCTACGGTCCCCACGACGAGAAGTGGGCGGCAGCACCAAGGAAGACTCAGAACTGAAAAAAATTATGTAAAATCCTTGATTTTACACTGCGTTTGGGGGTAGGGAGAGTGAAGGGGGGTGTGACTAAAACTAACTATCATATATTGAATACACCAAAGGAGAGACTGCACTTATGGCATCCAAACCCATAAGAGGGACTTGGACAGACAGACTATAGCTATAGGAATAGACGTTTGAAGGTTATTGTATCCTTTTAAGTTAATTATTTGCAGACACATGTATTTATGTAGAAAAGAAGAACTTATTTATTTATACAATATTTTTATTTATAAAAAATTTTACCAAGAAAGATACATTGAGATCTAATAAAAGGATATGTATATTTATATTTATTTAGTTACTTTACAACAATATATGTTTTTTTTTTAAATTTAAATATTTTTTATAAGCAGTAGGTATTCTGTGATGAATAGAACCTAAATTTAAAAAAATGTAATCTGTTCAGTCATACCCTGAAATTTCTCTAGAAGAGAGTAAATAAAGTTTAGGAAATTGATTTCAAACCAGACAGTAACATGTGTTTGAAATTCGTGAGATAATATTTGCTGTGATGCACTGCCAGACTAGCTAAGCATCATGGGAAATATTTGCAAAAATCTGATGTTATCCGTCACAGATTTTGGAGAATGTATCACTTACTAAATGCCACATTTGCTCAATCTTATAAACAAGGCTACTAGCATACATTCATTGTAAGATCAATTGGTTTGTAATATTACATACAAAATGTGTTTACAAGGTATGATTGAACTGCAAACTTGCATTTTAGTTTGCACTTTTTAGTGTAGCCAATTTCTATTTAGTAATAATAACCAAATAGATAATGCATTTAATGCACGCATGATGTAATGTGTACATACCCATTCCAACAATGAGGGCAAAATGATACTCTATGATCCTACAGTCAGAATAGAACCATTTTTAAATTACATTTTGGACATCAACTATATATGCTTAAAAAGGGTCATTCACACAATAAATATTTGAGCGATGTGGTTATATTGTGTTTCCAGTGAAAATGACCCTTATTAAGTACATTTTAAAAGAGACCACATCTATTTTTAAACAGTTAAAATGCACATGTAACTTTTATTACTGGCATTCTAGAATTCAACTGGCTGTAATAAAATAAATAATGAAAAATAAATTGCCAGACACCCACTGGGAAGATACACATGACATCACAATGGGCAGTTTAATAATGAGTCACATGGGCACTTTAACATAGCCGTGTAAAGTTTAATTCCTTTGGTGAGAGGGTGTGAAATAGTTGAATAGCTTATACTCGTCTTACAGACATTTTCTATCAACAAAGGATTAAAAATATACACAATAATCGTGACCAGTATTTACCAGAGCACAAATAAAAGTGTGCCATGGCACTTTCAGAGCAGCTAAACCCTCTGGGTCTGCACAAGCTGTCCTTAATTTGGCAATATATATATGTATATAATACATGTAGATTTCTATCTCTCTGAAAGGTTAGTAAATATGGCCAGCATATATTTTTAAATCTACTACAAGATAGGTCTCTTAGTAAGGCATAATTATTAACACTGGCACAGTTTCTTTGTGACTCCATAGAGATGGGCATTATTCAACATATTCTTTCATTCTTGTAAAAAAGATTTTGTGTATTTCGAAATATTATACTTAAAGGTCTATTTACTAAAAGAGAAGTTAGGGTAAGTTCAATACTGATTATGAAAATGTAAGCATAAATTGATTAGCTGAAAAAAATCTCCCAAATACAGATCACTGCTTTTAATTAGGTAAATGAATTTCTTGCTACATACAGACATACAATATACATTGTGCTGTCATTGTTAATGAGCATTCCCTTTAAAGGCAGCAGATTTCTAACAAATACCCCAAAACTGGTTATTTGACCATTATTATTTCTATACAATTTTATAAGTATTGTATGTTACAAATGTTTTTATTTTTTTAGGTATCCCTGAACGGTAAACTACACATAAAATTATTGTAGTGTCTTACTTTTGACTGCCATCTTTACATCCCGTGATTATAATAGAAATTAAGATTACGATAAACTACACTGCAGTATTCAGAAACCACGTGTATAAAAAAAAGCCTTAAAAGGGATGTTAATGAAACATTCATGACATATTTTTCTATGATGTATTTGTCTCTGTCTTTGTCTGAAAGAGTTACAGAATCGTGAAGCATATGTTTCAAAAACCACAAACATTGATGGTTTGTGTTGATTGCTCCACGTTAATCGCTTTGCAAAACAAACTGCATAATAGGTGAGTTTCACAATGTTCTTTTTATACTTTAAGATTTGTTGGGCTCTGTGGCATATAGTTGTATGTAATCATAATACAAGGGTTAATTAAATGCTGTTTTTTCACTATTCACTTTATCTCTCTTTTGTGCTTTATACCTTCCAATATGTGGCATACTATATAACAGATCCATCTGTGGATATATTTTGTCTATTCAATAATTTTGGACTTAGTTTATATGGGGCAGTCATTATGATAGATACTACTTTCAATACAGTTTATTTTTTGGATCATTTTATATCCAATATATAGTATCTATTTATACTCTTCTGCTTATTCAGTTACTAATGTCCCAATATGCTAGCAATTGAGTTCATGGCAGTTAACATTATAGATACTTTTTTGATATAACTTACTGACTGAATTATTTTCAATATATCCAACATATAGTATCTATTTTTATTCTTCTGCTTACTCAGCTTCTAATGTTCCAATATGCTAGCAATTTAGTATTATATCTTATATAATGCCACAGTCTGAGATTTACTAGGTAAAAGCAAGTCCTTTATGTCTCTTATATATTCTTTAGATGTATTGATACTAGCCTGCAGTCACAGATATTGACCTATGAGGCATTATATATTAAAGTCTAAACCTGTGTACTGCAGTATCTACTTTTAGAGACATTAGGAAGGGAGTTTTGTGCCATTAGGCAGTTATTTCCTCTTTCACCTGACCCATTTTTCTATTATTGTATTTTCTCATTGTATATATCTCTATATCTCACTTTGTATAGAATCATTACTATTCATTATTCCAGTGGATACTCAGATACTAGGTATTTTGAGTATCTTATAGTTTTCCTAATCAGGGGTTATGCCCCAAGACACAACTGGAGTGTCTTATAAGGTGTGAACGTCTACGGGCTAAGGGGTCTAGTCTATTTTTTAGGCAGCCATTGCCTGTAGACGGCTTTCTTTCTTTTTGTTTGGTTAATTAAAGGCATGCTGATATCAGGGCTCAAAGTTCCCATCACTAAATATTAGCAAGTTGAATATCAGTCTTTTAAGACCTTATTTACTGCCATGAATAAACCCCCTACAGAGTCACAAAGATAAAACCATGCAGAAACACAAACAGTTTATTCTGGTCAAGGATATAAGGGCTAAATCCACGTAGTTGACATATGATCGAAAAAACCTACTGGAAGCATGATCAACCCAAGGCCG